TTCACCAATAAAAATTTAAGTGAATAATGAGAAGAAACAAATCTTTACAGAAGTGTAAATACCCCCATTCCAGAAGGTAGAAACTTAATTCCTTCTAACCCTGGTATGTGAGCTGTTTTTAGTGAATAGAATATATGTCAAAAGGAGAAACAGCAACTTTATGTTGGATCTATCAGACATCTACTTAACCACTCATTATAATTTGCATGACCAGTGATAAGCCATGTTGAACCTTCCTGATGACAGGAGAGCAAGTCACCTCTGATATTTTTTAGCAAAAATCCCATAACCTCCTTCTAGTGAGAAAACTTCACATAAGCCCAACATAAGGAACAGCCTACATTCTAGCCAGTATTTTGAATCTAGCCAGTATTCAAAAACACCAAAGTAAGGACAGACTGCCACAAAATAGCAAAAGACTAGGGAAACAGAGAGACTAACAGCCATGCAGAAGTATCAGCTGGATCCTGGAACAAAGGAAAGGATGTCAGTGTAAACACGATTTGAGATATTAATAAAGAGGGAAATTCTCTATACAATTTTTTGGTGACTTTTCTATAAATCTCAAACTATTCCATATAAGTAATGTAGGAACATCTATTTGTTGATACAGATTTCTACTTGATTGAAAAGTATACAAATGACCATTTTGCATTCTAAAATTAAACACTTAAGTATTCTCCCTTAGGATTCACTTATTAGATCATTTATGTGTTTGTAACAGCTGAAGATTGTAAGAATTAGCATTTCCAAGATACAGTTGTGGCGTTATTTTTATCATGGAAGAACATTCTTAAATTCTTAGCTATACCATATGCCCTTAATGGTATTTATTACAAAATACTCTAATAATCTGACTTTAAGCATAAAAAATGTATTTTCTGTAAGATTTAAGATATGGACTAAATCAGAAAAAAGTCAACAAAGGTTATTTAGTTTAGTCCCCTATTGGCATAAAATAAGCATAACAGTGTATTCGTGTTTCCCAGGGTTGCAAAGCTGTCTATCTCTTTAAGGTGTTTTTGTCATGGTATGTGTAATCACAGTGAAAAGACAAATGAAGGCACTAGAATCAAATTACCTGTTAAAATTAAGGTTACGAACATAGATACATGGCTCCTATTTTCTTTTGCTTCTTTTTCCTAAAATCACCTGTCATAAAATTATCCCTTTTAGATAATTTTTAGAATCTACTTAATTTTCAGTAAGAGATGAGGTTACTTACAGACCTAACGTCAAAATATGCTACACAGGAATGGCTAGCAGCTTGAAGCAATGCAAACCCAACCGACAGATGAAAGATGGAGCATAGGAAGGAGGTAGCTAAGTTAGGTAACCAATTGTATAACTTCATAAAAGATGGTCAATTGCCACACAGTTCAGGGCTTGAGCTCTGCTAAGAAAACAAAAGCTTCATTTAAATTACTTAGACCTCTATGCAATCCTAGAAAGAAGTTTAACCCCAGTATATCTCTGGCACATCAATTTAGCTGAACTGAACTTTGCTCCCAATAGCTTCTTCTCCCACTCAAAACGCATCAAAATTCATTTCAGTAAAGCAACTCTGGTAACTGAAGCCAGAAAATCAACAATTATAAGAACTTATTTTCCAACTTACAGAAGATGCAACTAATTACATTTCCTGAAAATAGAACCATATGTATCCTCTAGCAATAGAACTAAAATGGTTAGTATACTTTGCCTATTACATTAAATTTAGTTTTCATAAAAGTCTTGATACACAACATTTAATAAAATTTATAAAATTAGTAAGTCAACTGGTGGAAGAGTTCACTTTATAGCTTGGTGAAATGGGGGAAAAGCAAGTTTTATCAGGATGTTCTAGGCTATATAACAATCTAAAAGTCACAGAAACAATCTGGGTGTGTTTTCTCACTTGAAATCAAGGCTGGTTCAGAAACGAGGCTGTTGTGTCCTGTTCTGCAAACTTTTGGACACAAGGTGGTTGTAACACTCAAAGCATGATCTGCTCTCACAGTGACTCCCAAAGCGGAAAGAGAGGGGGTGTCTTTCCTCAGCCTCTTTCCTTTTACTAAGGAGGAATCTTTCCCAGAATCTAACAGTCTCTCAGTTACATCCCTTTGGTGAGACTGGCTGATAGGAGGCTGCAAAAGCGCAGGTCTTTTCACCCTGTCATAGGATGTGTGTAGCAGTGGTTCACTGTTAAAATTAGTGAAACATTACCTCTGCCCTTTAGGTATTTAGAGCAACAACACAGAACATCTGCTGTGAAATTTGCTATGATGAAATAGAAAAGGAAGCCATAACGGAAAATCATTTTTCCTGAGCTTCTCTACAAGGACGTTTGCTGTGAGAATGAACAACTATAGCATACTCATTAAGTAGCTTGGACTCCTTGACTAGAAACCCTGCTGTAGAAAGAGTCATTCAGGGAGCTACATTCCTTACAAGAAGGCCCAAGCAGTTTTAGTTTGGATGAGGACGCATTGCCTAAATTAAGTAACAAAAGCAAGTATCTCAGGTGCACTGAGGAAGCTGGCAGGAGTAGAATATTACTTACACAGACCTTGTGATGAGGCTTCTCCAACTCAGAAATTACTGTGAGTTTTCCTGTGAGTTGTGGAGCAGAGGAACAGCATGAAATTTTGTTGAATTAAAAAAAAAAATCCACCCAATTGGATGTAGTAAATGGTATTTGTGGTTTAAAAATGGTTTTAGTTTTAGTAAATGTTTTAAGTAGGAGGAATCAAGAGGAAGATAGGTCCTTCTTACAGGAGAAAAACTTTGCTGTTATAAATACCTCCAACCGAAAAACATCCATTCTTTGGGCTTAAATGATAGCTGGTAAAAAAATAAGGTAACTTCGGGCCCTCCCTGGTGGCTCAGTGGGTTAAAGCACTGTTCTAAGAATCAAAAGCTACTTCCGCATGAGTTTGATCCCCGCCTGCCCTGGAGGAGATCCACATGGCGTGGCAGATCTCTCCTGACCCGCCTGCTGCTCCCCTCAGCAGTGTACTTCGTTGATCTGCCTGTTCTGCTCCCCACTCTGTCTCTGGTGAAGCCTCTCACCCTCCGCATCTCTGGCCTGTACCCCAGTTCTGTATGAATAAATAAATAAATCTTAAAAAAAAAAAAAGGTAAATTCTATTAGTTTAGTAAGCTTAAAAACTGAGCAGTGAAATGATGGAGTAGGAGATAGTCATGCTATATGCTAATAAAGTCAAATATTATGTAAAAGGAAAAAAAAACTGAGCAGTGATCTCACTATTTATGTAAATTTGTACCTGACTGATGCTTAGATTAAAACTGAAAATTTGACCACATAAAATGGATTTTTTCCACTCAGCATATGAGCCTGTGTTGGCAACACTCGCATAACTCATGGTAGTACAGACTGTAATCACTGTAGCATACTGGGAAGGTGTACACACAGGTCGTAACTGAATGCTTTAATTCACAGTGGTGAAAAAGAAAGAGCTTACGGAAACACCAAAGGCATTTAAAATAAAATTGCAGCCATTGCTCTTACCGATTTTTGAAGTAGCATTGATTCTGTCATGGTATTCTGTTCAGAGGAGAGTTTGGCCCTCCACAGATGTACATGACATATCCCACCTCACCCATCCCAGGGCACCAATACCCCTTTACCTTACACCAGGGCACTCCCTGTTTTCACCCTTTTCCCCCTGCAGCAGTGCAATTGTACAGTTGCTTTCATACCTTTGTTTTTTGGTTTAATGTTCTTAGTCCCTTTGATTATTTCCTCTATATTCCACAGGAATGAAATCATTTGATATCTGTCTTTCTCCCTCTGGCTTACCTCACTGAGCTGAACCCCCTCCACGTTCAACCATGCTATTTATCCTACTATTTTTCACAGGCCCCAACAAAATACTTTCCTACCAGTGGTATAGAATGCCTTCTCCATCACCTCCTTCACTTGTTTAATTTGTTTCTGATAGGGGTTACTCTTAAAGGTGGGAGATGGTATCTCACTGTGGTTTTGATTTGCATCTCTCAGATAAGTGATGATGGGCAATTTTTCACGGCCATATGTAAGTTTTCTTTGAGAAAGTGTCTGTTGAGCCCTTCTGCCCAGTTTTTGGTTGGGTTGTTTGTTTTCTTGTTGAACTGTATGAGCTCTTTATATATCTTGGATATTAGTATTAGCCCTTAGTTAGATGTGTGGTGTGCAGCTTTTTCTCCTGTTCATTTGGGTGTCTTTGTTTTACTGATAATGTCTTAAGTCTTAGTTTGATGTAGTCACATTTGTTTTTATTTACTTTTGTTTCTCTGACTTGAGAGAAAATCATCACTGAAGACGACGTTGTAGAGTGTTTGGCCTATCGTTTCAGGTATTACATCCATGTCTTCAAGCCATTTTGAGTTATTTTTGTATAAGGTGTGAGATGGTGACCTACTTTCATTCTTTTGCATATGGCAATTAAGTTTTCATAGATAATGTTAAAGTAGCCCTAAATCTTTACCACTAAGCAATAAACATGTTGCATTCCTAACCATAGAAAATAAGCATTTCTATTAAACTTACAGTATACAAGAACAATGAAAAGTTTTGTGAAAAAAGAATTTGAACTAGGAATGTCCAGAAAAACAGGCTCTTAGTATTAATTATTAGATGAATGTGAATCACTCAGTTCATTTCAAGTAACTATTATATCAGGCCAATTTCTGGCTTAAATTTACTATGAGCGTGACATGCATTAAAAAACAATTGCTCAATTATTAACTCATATCCTTCAAGGTGTTGATATGTGTGAAACCATATCTACTTCCTTGAAGGCAACTGGTTTTTTTTGTTTGTTTCAACAGGAAAGTGTTTCCAAAAATATATAAAAAAAATCCTCAGTTTTTTTTCTTGGTGGATCATAATAGATTATTTTGAAGAAAATCCTCCTTAATACTTAAGTATTAAGTGTTAAAGTGGCATTTAGTTAGTCTATAGTTGTAGGGTAGAAAAATACAAATAATGAACTTAAAATAATTTGTGAATAACTTACCAAATCCAGGAACACTTTTGAGACTGGCTTTCAGGCAAATTTTTTCCAATCTGAGGTAGCTGTATCTCATCAGACAATTCCACAGGAACATCCAGTCCATTCTTGTACGATGATTCATAATAATGACACTTCTTTCTCCAGGAACAAAAGCATCACCTGTTATAATCACTTTTACGCCAAACATAGTTTCCAACAATGCCTAGGAATAAACAATATTGATGCATGACAATTTAAAGTTATGATTATCCAGATATAAATTTTATTATGTCCTATAAATACACCTTTCAACACAAAAACATAGTATTTCCCATGAGGCTTGCTTCTATCATAAGGAAAAAATCTGGAAGGATGAGAACATGAAGGTTTTGTATCTACCTTTCAATCTACTAATTTAAGTTTCTGTCAGTTTAGTTAAAATGTTTTCATTGAATCTTCAAATTATAAGAAGTACAAATGGTATATAACAAGATTCCAATCTATAAATTTTTATAGCTATAGATACACGAGATTAGTTTCTTTTTATAGGAAAGATAGTCAAGAAATTTAACAGTGGGCACCGGGAATACAAAGTCAAATGTTCATTTCTACTGTCTCATAAACCAAGACATGTATCTTTGTAACATTATGTAAGAAAAGTAATAGCTATTTTTACTAAAATGCTGCTGCCTCAGTACCTTCAGCCATGCCTGGGATGTAGAAAATGCTCAAATGCATGCTTAATTTATTTAATTGCTTTCAAATATTATCAGAAAGTTATAGTACACACGGGAGATTTTAGCTCCTGTTTAAATTTAATGTAACAAATTTATTAGTTAACCTTTGAAGTCACTGTCACAGAAAGAAAACTCACCCAAGGCAGATAAGAAAATCCCAAGTCCCTGTTAGTAATATGCAAATGAAAATGGAGCAGATAAACAATTATACAATGGAATATGATGCAGCAATGAGTGTAAATTCCCTGAATATCACATGACACTCATTAGCAAAACAAAAATATATATATTTTATCAGTATCATCTAGAAATCTTTCTAATGCCAGACAGTAAATTAAGATATCTTAGGGGTAAAAACATAGTGATTTCCAAGCTTGATCAGTGACTACTTCTATCATATAAGTGTAGCTTGTTGCAAGGCTGACGGTGTTCTGGTTTTTGACTGGTTTGATAGTTATACAAAAGAATAAGGATTCAAAAACATAGGAATAAATAGAACCGGGGGGTTTGTGAGGTGGGGGGAGACGGAAAACAGGTAAAAAAGAATGTTAGTTAAAGAAAAGATATAAGAATGGTTTATGTCCAAATTATTAGTCAGGCCTAACATCTTAAACTGCTTTGGGCATAGGCAAACTTTGACCCTGACAGTATTGATTACATGGAAAAGCCACCCAAAAGTGAAATAAATGGTCACTGTTCTTTATAGAAATTTTCCAAGGGGAACTACTGAAACTTCACAAATGATCAGAGAACTTTTACCCACACAGGTAGGTTAGACTAGGTGACCTCTTATAAAAGTTTTTACTGTGGTACATCAAACTCTTGTCAGTGAAATCATCTTAATGCACTAGAGAAAGCTACAAAAGATTACTTAGCGAAGCAATAATTAGTCTAAGTGCATTTGCCCTAATTTATTTTTGGTGAAAAATGATTTGGGAGTTGGTTAAAATAAACTATACCTATTGGGGAAAAAAGATCATTTCTTTCATAAGGCGTTTTAGCCTATTTGCTTGAAAATGGCCTTTTTAACTCCTTGTTAAAAATATGAAGTTTTTCTTCCATTTCTTTGAGAAGAGATATTCACTGCCTCATAACTGGAAAATCAATGATTTGATCTATAACAATTGTACAGGATTCAATTTCTAACTGAAAGAATCTTTGTCAGACATGCTGTTAACAGTACGCTAAATAGCTGGGTTGTAGACTTTTTTCAAATATATACCAATTAGTATTTCAGTGATAGCTGAGTCTTGCAGAAAGCTTCCTTACAAAAGACTAGCACACTGTATCAATAAATCCAGCTCACCCAGTTTGTTTCTGAATGTTGGGCCAGATGTCTTCTGCTGACCGTAAGTTAAGTATAAGAATCATACTCAGTATAGGACCACTCACAATTTCTCAACTTATACAAAGTGTGTTTGGGGGGGGGGGGGAGAACGTGTGAGTAGAATCCTATATCTAAAAAATATAATGGAAGCTGTAGAGGTTAACAGTGTTCAAAGAGAAGGCAGTGACCGTAAGGAAGAGGAAGTGTTTAATTAATCACATAAATGTCCACTTATTAAAAAAAAGTTATCTGAATTTTTTTCATTGTTTTATAAAAAATGGAAATGCAAAGTGGTAGATCTTCATAGTATAGCTTTACATCTGTGCATTTTTGCTATAAAGTATATTTGAATAAAGAAAATATAAGAGGAAAATGCAAGTTGCTTAATTTTTGGAATACAGCCCTAAAAGATAATTTCAAGCACATGCATTATTTTATACTTGTTTCTTTTAATTTCCTCCTTTAAATGCTAATACACCTGTTCTGAACAGTAGTGACTTACATGTTTTGTCTAACAAAATCAATGGGACAGGCAATATGAGTAGTCTCCTTCCCTGGTATGTAACTTACCACGGGGAGCGTGAGCCAGGTTGCCACAAGGCGGTTGTTGATCCAGCGATACCAAGATGGGTTTACAAACATCAAAGGTAGAAAGGGACCCAGCATGAAAATGCTTCCAAAAAAGCTTCCCCAAAACAGGGTGAGTATAAAATAAATCCCTTTCCATGACACCATGATTCTGAAAGATATGAAAAATATATTTTACTTGACATAATTCTACCCAAATTCCAAAAGGATGCATTTAATCTTTAATCAGACTACACAAAAGTCTCTGATAATTCCTTTAAAAGCTTGAATACTACAAAGGTAACCTTATATTTCCTACATGTCGAAACCAAACAAGTTGCAGTATAAACTTTTAAAGCTTTTTTAAAATTTATTTTTCAGGCCCTCCCTGGTGGCGCAGCGGGTTAAAGCACTGCACTGAGAAGCTGAAGCCACTTTCGCATGAGTTCGATTCCCGCCTGCCCCGGAGGTGACCACATGGCGTGGCAGACCTCTCCTGACCCGCCCGCTGCTCCCCACTCTGTCTCTGGTGAAGCCTCTCACCGCCCCTGAGCCTCTGGCCTATACCCCAGTTCTGTATGTACAAATAAATAAATCTTTAAAAAAAAATTTATTTTTCAATCGTTACATATATAACATGAAGGTAAGTTTCCATATCTGTATACACTTAATTCACGCTCCCCCCAGCCAGTGCCCTGTTCCCCTTCCTCCACCTGTCTCCCTCCCTCTGATAACCCGGTATGTTTTGCCCAGTGTCTAAGAATTACTTTTATGCCACAGGTAAGTGAAACTGCACTATCTTTCACTTTCTGATTTGTAAGTGCTAAAGTTGTTAACAAAGGAGAAAAGCTTCTTAAAAATCACTATTTTCAATCCCCACTTCCCCCCACAAATCTGCAAATGCTTTTATATTTGAAACCCCAGGTTCTACCTTTTCCTTGGACTGTGTGTTCCTGCCAATCAGCCTTTAGTTATATGTTTGGACACCAGCCCCTGAGCGCCACACTTCACCCATCAAGAACTATCCTCCCCAATGGCTCTAACATGCTTCTCCTAACTACTTCTTCTCTGGTGTGATGAACGGAAAAAGCAGCTTAGTATCATCAAATCAACTATTTTCCTTTCCCAGAGATGAGACTGAAAGAAGAGATGACTTTCCTAAGTTCACGGAACCAAGCAGTTGCGCTAAGTCTTTTCTGCCTTCTGCTTCTATTGTCATGTCACCTCCCTCCTGCTAAATCAACTTTCACAGACAGATTTAGATAGGGTGTGTCACATAAGTGTACTGAGATTACGCAGACCAAGTCCAACCTAATATTACTTTTCCATATCTTAATCCTTCCCTAGCCTAGCAATATTCATTCAGTGATTTCATAAATACAATTAATCATTGGGGGTAAAACAATACGAGAGACACACCAGGTTCTGATAAACCTAATGGCATTCCATCTCTCCTTATGAACTTCTCCTTGGCAATATATTTAATCTATCCATATTCACTGTCTTCCAAACTCCAAGGGTTTGACTAATTTGGTTAAGATAATGCTGGCTATACACGTAACTTCTAATCCACTCTGGCATATCACTTCCCTACTAAGTGTATATACTTTGGTAAAGTCAGTTGCATTCTGAAACATGTTACATTCTCATTTACTTCAATAAAAGTCTCCAAGTAAGGTACCCATTATATCAGTGGTCTTTACAGAGGACAAAATGAGATACAAGTTCAGAATACTGTTTATACCCAGGGCATTTCCCAAAATAGCAGTGAGACTAGTAAAATATTTAAAAGCCAAAAAGTAAATAATAAAAATAACCCATGAAGCATATTGTCTAAGCTGCTGAAAATGTATTCATAAGGCTAGGGAATCGAATCAAAGTGTCCATAAAGCCAACCTCCAGCAATACTCTGAATCAGCCTGACTGATTTTGTTTAACTAGAACAGAGATTTGGAAATACCCACATTTTTCCCAAAAAGTAGAAAACTAAAATTTGTTATATGAAGTAAGTATAATAAATACATACCTTGTATATTTACATATTAAATATAAATTCAGTGTAGGTTCAGCAAATTTTCCTATAAAAACTCTTACCATATACTTTCCCAAAAACTCTCAACCAATGACCAAGGAAATAAAAATTAAAAGATTCCATTTCCTCGTGATTTGATTTTTAAAAATGAAAATGTTGGTAATAAATTAGCAAGGCTAGAGTATACAAAGGTACTTTTCTAAGAACACAAATTAGAATATTTTAGGTGAGTGACAGGGAAGTATCTATCATGCAGAAATACTTACAGGTATATACAATTTAAAGAGGGAGGACAATTAATTTTTAACAGTTGGAAAGTAGGAAGCCAAGTATTGACTATCTTGACAGCCCTGGAAATGTATCAATGAGTATAAAAAATAGAATATAAATGAGTAAAGCAGAAAGTTGAGAAAAAACCTGCAGAATTCTCTAAAAGCTTAGAATCTGGCTGCACCAGGTTGCTCTGGACCCAAATAGGGATGAATGAGCATTTACCAAAATAGAGTGGCAAATCTAGCTAAAATCTAAGAAGCAGGTAGCCTTCCTGGGTCTTCTGTCTTCCCATGCCTATATGTAACTGCCCTTAGCCCACTCAAGCCCAAGTGTGGAAATCTCTGAAGGTGAATTGGGGTTTCTGGACTAAGGGACGCACAGCTGAGGGCGTGGTTAGTGCTGAAAGGCAGTGAAATTACGTAACCATGTACGTACCACATGAAGGTTGGGACTCGGTCTTTCCTTGTTCTGTGCTATGCTAGGAGCACTGGAAACGGGGCCAGCACTTCTGAGGAACTGAATCATTAACTGCATATTTAAAGTTATTTAACACATGTGGTCAGTCACTACAGCACAGTTCTACACAGATTACTAGAGCACACTTCCATCGGGAATCTGGCCAGACCACAAGGGAAGAGGGAAATACAAAGATACTGGTGCTTCCTTAATAAACAGCGGCTCTAAATCATCCCAAAGTGAACTGAAACCAAAGTTCACGTAAACTTCCCCTGCATGCAAGATTCTAGCTAGCTTTTTAAGTTCCTTACATTTTATTGTAAGCAAAACATATGTGAGGATAAACTGTTTAATGTGATAGTAAACAGGCATATACTTGAAGAAAAACTATATATAGGAAACTCTCTTCAATATTTTCAGGAAGACAAGCTCTATAGCCACTAAAGAAGAACAAAATGCTCTTGTGAAGGGAAAATGAAAACAAACATCCAGGGAATAAAAAAGCTGTTTAATAAAAATAGCAAATGTCTAGCAAAAGCATTAACCAAAATTTAAAACTCAGCAAAAGAGTTAGAAAATGAAGCTGAGGAAATCCATCCAAATGTTAAGCAAACGATCAAGCTAGTTTATAATTTCTCGAGAGTGCTCCAAACATAAATAACATGTTGATCTTGATTCAACTGACAGAGTCAAATACATATAATGGAAGTGTGAACACTAAGATCGATTACTACAAAATGCAAAATGATCATTAGAAATGAAAATAAAAATGTTTTAACAGTTAAAACAATCATAGTCTGATTGTTGTGATTATTCCACAATCTGAAAGAATTTTATTTTAAATAATTCAAGGCAGATGGTTTTTATATAGTGTCCTTGCACACTAGAAAAACACTTCACACCCAGACACAAACTTTCTGATTCAGTTTCTTAAAAACATAAGTGAAATATTTATGGGCTTATTAATTTTAAGTTCACCAATACATTTTAAGTTCCCTGGATGCATGTTAATTTGCATGACCTGACTCTGATGAACACTTCTACATTTTTTGGAAATTAGTAATATAAATACATGTTTCCTGATGAAATGCTATGTTTCTATATTCCCCAGTGAGAAGTGTATTTGTTTTCCTTTTGCGTCTCAAAAGATAGACTCATAACTTAATACTCAAAACAAAGATTATAGATTTTTCTCCTTCTCCTCTTATCTTTTATTGTAAATCACTTTAAATTCTCTTAGGAAGCAAGCAACTTCCATGAAAAAACTTCAAGATGTCACCATTTAGTTACCTTATCTTAATTTTACCAATAATCTCCAAGTCTGTTCTAAAGCATAGTATAAACGAATCACTAGAATTTTTTTTAAGAATTTACATTGAAGATAAAAAGGTATACACCCTTAATAAAGCAAATCACTAAAAAAAATAGGTCTGAAAGTCGGAACTGTAAACACCTTCCCATGTAAAGTATCACAAGGCAATGGGGCAGGGGTGGGAGGGAGGATGAGGCTGCTGTGGCACCTTGATCTATTTGGGAAAAAGAGACAATAAAAGGAAAAGATTGCAGCTTTCTTCTTCCTGAAGCCAAAGAAAAGACTAATACTTTGCCAGGTTAAAAAACAAACGTGGCCCTCCCTGGTAGCACAATGGGTTAAAGCACAGCACTAAGAAGCTAAAGCCACTTCAGCATGAGTTCCATCCCTGCCTGCCAGGGAGGTGACCACATGGGGGAGGTGACCACATGGCGCAGCAGACCTCTCCTGTGTCCTCCACTGTTCCCCACACTATCTCTGGTGAATCTGTTCACTGCTCCTGTACCTCTGGCCTGTACCCCAGTTCTGCATGCATAAATAAATATATCTTATATAAAAAAAAAAAAAAAGCCCAAGGTACAAGGTAAGCAAGCATTCTAGTTAGATTTACCCAAGCAAGACTTTCAACAATTATAGAACTTCAGCAAACAGTTTCCTAGGGGAGGTAGGGGCTACTTCAAGAGATCTTAGACAACAATAAGAACATCTAGGGTTACGTTACATTGATACTACTTATCTCTAAGTTTACTGTAAATATTAGTCATAGCTCTCTAAGAGCTGATGCAACGCTTTCACTTAAAATGTATTAAAAGTTAATATACAGAAAGCAGAGAATATACATATTATATGACTATCTAAGATTCAAAGACAGAGAAACTAGCTTATAATGCTAGAAGTAAAGATACCGGCGATCCTGGGAAGTGGGGTGCAGGGAAGTGGCCGAAAGGCGCCAGGGGCCCCAAGGGTTTGGGCAATGCTGTTTCTTGACTTGGGTGCTAGTGACACACAATACATTCACTTTATCAAACTTCACTGAGTTGTACACTTGTGACCTATGCATTTTCCTAAATGCATAGTATATTTCAACAATGCATTATAT